CCTTGATTTTTTCCATCAATATTTATATCAACGTGCTGCAACTTCTCAAGGGTTTGAGATAGAGTCTAAGGCTTTTCAGCTTTGATTACACGTGACCGTCAGATCGACCTGGGGTCATTTTTAGCCTCTCACAAGTCCAAATTTTTCTTGGCGATGAGGGGGACTACCGCCCTCTTTCAAACACCCCCTAAACAGAAGGGGGCACATCCCCCTTCTGGCAACCCCCAGATGTATCTTTGGATGGGGGGCTGCGCCGAAAAGGTGCTCACCTTTTTAAGCAACATTTCTCAAACCAAAACATGCGTTTGGAGCCAAAATGGGACATTTTCCCACTATTTGAGGCCTAAAAGAGGGGATGGGGGTCAAAAGTGCGTTGTTTCGCGTATATATCAGGTAAAGAGGTTAAGTGATAAAAGTTTTAAAAGTTAAATTTAACCACTTAAAATATCTAAAATTTGTGATCATATAACAAAATTACGGTGGCATAAAAAGAACATTTGCATTTTTTTTTTGTTTTGCATACATATTTTTTTAGTTTTGCATTCATATTTTAGTTTTTCGTACATGTTTGTTTGTTTTATTTTTGTTTTTCGTACATATTTTAGCCAATCAAAACAGCCTTCACATCTCAAAACAGCCCAAGGTTGACTTTAAAACTAGCACAGTGATTTGGTCACATTTCTGCCCATTTTTGGAATCGGCCGAGTCGTTTTCAGCCGGGCAAGTCTGGTTTCGGCCGACCCTTTTCGGCCCATTTTTTGAATTATATGTATTTTATTTAATTATTATTTTTATTGTTATATACTATTATATCAGTGTCAGTGTCAGTGTATAATTTGGAAAGGGCTGTTGATTGGCGATCAGTTATTATTATGAATATGCACCACTCAACGCCACACCCTGATAATTCGTGGAGGGGGGGGGGGGGGCATTTACTTTAAACCAAGCCGACCACTGGTGAAAAATCTTCGCCCATTCCTATCTTATGCCCTGGAACAGCGCAAACATAAAAACACGACTCTTTTTTAACCAGCACTCCCCCGGGGCAATTGAGGTGGTTACAAACGACTGGTGTATTACAATAATGCACGATTAGAGATATAAAAAGGTTCTTATATTCCACTGATTTAGAAAAAAATGCTTAAAGTTTTGAAGGATTTTAATGAAACTTGGGTCAATTCTTTAGCACATGTGCAGAACTTATATGCCAGGTGTGCCGGCTCAAGGTCTGGGGTCACAACTACAGGTCAAAGGATTAAGACTTGGGTTTCATTTCTGCCCCTTATCTCAAAAAACCCATAAATGATTCTCAGGCACCTTCAATGTGTAAAATGTTAACCACATCGAGACAATATGCAGAACCTTTCTATGGGTTACCACGCACTATATATATATTAAAGTGTTGTTATTATTTGATAACTCCAAAATAAAAAAGTTGGTATTTGCAAATGGCATTTGCAAATGGGGTATGTAATTTACAGACGGCGAAGTGTTCAAAAATGGCGTTTTACAAATGGCGTAATTTTCCAAACCTCTACTTTGCAAATGACGTAATGTAAAAAAATGTACGAAAAAACAAAAATAAAATATGTACAAAAAAAAAATAAAATATGTATGCAAAATTAAAAAAAAAATATATGTATGCAAACTAATAAAGTATGTATTCAAAACTAAAAAAAATGTGTACGACAAACAAAAAACAAAACAAAAACAAACAAAAAAATGTACGAAAAACAAAAAAAAGTATTAAAAATATGCAAATGTCGCTTTTATGCCACCGTTCAAAATACTCTAGTACAGAAATTGTGTATTCCTAAAATTAAAAGATGCTGCGAAGAATGTCCCGTTCTGTCAGTCATTTTCTTGATAACTTTTGGTGCCATATTGAGCCCAATTTTAAATATGTTGGGAATGAAATAAAATACAGTTAATATTTTTTCCAAAGAACTATAAATATACTCTATTGCAATGTTCTGGTGAAACATCAAGTTTTTCGATCGGACTATAAATAGTGATTTTAAATTAACAAATACATGTACATTATTAAGCTTATCAACAAACTAAAGGTTTTTTTTTTAAGCTCCGTAACAACCGTTCGCCAGAGTCTTTTTTAATGGGAAATCTTACATACTTCTTTAGAAAGAGCAAGCATGAGTTTTATAATGTTAAAATAATGGTATCAGAGAAATGTAAAATGCTTGTTACCTGAATAAAGTAGCGATAAATGTGAAAGTAGTCAAACAATGTAGTATTTGACTTCCATATAAAATACTGATTCACTATAACTGTACTTATCATTGCCAAGAAGCAACAGATGAAAAAGATGGTTCAGGTAATTGGCCAATGTGTACATCAAAATAAAAAAAGCTTTTAAGAAAATCAAATAAAAGCATAATGGGCCTTTAAAACGTTATTTTTAACCCTACAATCCCCTCTATACCCCCAGTGAGAATTTTACATTATTCTGAAGCTCCGCTCTTAATGTGCGACTACTTAAATAGTTGCTCTTTTTAGTATTGCCTGTACGGACTACTACTTAAAGCCGCATTTACACCTAATCAAGTTTCTTATATGTCACATTTAGCTAAATAAATGGCTTTTTCAACATATTATAAGGCACATTTTTTACTGAAATGTCTTACTAAGATTACTCAGAATTTATACCTTTGTCTATGCTAAGACTATCATATTTCTATAAAATGTGTAAATAAAAAACGGGAACATAATGCATTTAGCTAAAAACAATGGAGTTAATGAAAGGTGTACATTCTTTAATAAAATGGAAAATTTGAGAACAAAAATATTTTAAGCTAAATAATTAATACAAATTCTTTATAAGGTGATTTATTTGGTGAAAGTTCTTCACTTACTTATCAAGACCATTTAAATCCCTAGTGATTCTACTATAATCCAGGGCACATGTTTTGCGTCTATTTAATACCTTGATTTGTGTTTAACATTAGCTTTGACTACAATATATAATTTAAAACATAATGAAAATTAATTTTCTATGACCCCAAAGTGCGGTCGTTTTCCTGATGTTAAAAAATGCATATGTACCTGTTTAACGCACTTTGGGGTCAAAATTGGACACCAAAGTGCGTAACGCACTCTGGGGTCGGACCCAAAAGTACGTTACGCACTTTGGGGTCGGACCCCAAAGTGCGGTGTTACAGCGCAGTAATCATATAAGTTATTTTTCATACTGTAATCATGACTCTTTGATATTTTAACATAAGTTGACTTGGTGACTTAAAGGTCCATTCGGCCGACAGTAAATGTTATTCTCTGAATTTATGTATCGCATTATTTATTTACACATGTTACTATAGTAAATTGAAGTTCTTGTCTTATCTTATCTTATGTTATATGTGTGTCATATGTTAAATTATGTACGGTTATGTCCTGGACAATCATCTTATAACCTGTTGGTATCTCTAATTATGTGACTGTGTCTCCTAATTTAGCTATTTGTAATAGGCTGTAGTTAAATTAAAATCTTGAAAATCGTAAGGTATAAGTAAGCCACATTAGGGTGAAAATGTATCTTATTATGTGATAGGTACGCTTAAAATGGTGATAGTGTTTTAGAAAAGTCATAATAATGAGACATTATCTTCTTTGTCTTTGTAAGTAAAACATTTTTTTCAATATTTAAAACGTATCTTATTGGTGATAATTAACTTTTTATATTGTGAAAGTATTTCCTTATAAGAGATAAACAAAACAGGCATAGTGACGTATCCGTAGAGAATTGAAAAGAAAACATATATCTTGAGCAATTAATTTAGATCAACACTGTTCTTCCATTTATACACATTTATGCCATTTGATAACGTTAATCAAAAGGCATTATAATGTGAAAAAGACGTTATAACGCGAACCAAGATGGGTAATATTTAACGGGAACTCCAAAAGTGCAATAGTGTTTATTTAATATCATTGAATTAATATAAATGGTATTGAATAACAGCTAATACGCCTTTGGGTTCCCGATATAACGTCTTATATTCAAGTAATAACGCCTTCTGGTTCGCGTTATTTCGCATTTTGTTTTGCGTTCTTCGCCTTTTGTTTCGCGTTCTTACGCCTTTTGATTCGCGTAAAATAAAACGAACGCGTTTTTGCGTAATACGGCATTTTGATTTGCGTTGTTATGCATAACTACGCCGTTTTTCGTCGCTTGTTTCGCACAATTACGCCCTTTTTGTTAAAACGCATTCGATTGCATGGCTACGCCTTTATTTGCGCTATTACGCTTTTTTGTGTGTGTTATTTAAGAAATAATATATTCTAAACAGTGATTTTATCGCTAAATACATCACGAGGGCGTAACCCGAGAAATATTATAATACGTATCATTACGACAAACAGTGACTTTTTTATCAAGCGATACAAGCACCGAGTTGGATATATTATTTTATTTCTAACACGACATCAACTGTTACAAATAAATGCTGCCGCACGGGATATTAAGCAAAGTTGCTCCTGATCTGTCTCCGTATTTATCATTTTAGTGGTTACGTCACATGTCTTATGATTACGTCACGTGTCTTAATAAAGAACGTCAACTGTGATTGTATTTGCATAACAACACACACTTTCGGTCCGTTTATGTAATGCGGGTCGTGTTAGAATACGCCTTTTGATTAGCGTTTGAACACCTTACACATATTTCAATTGATTTCCTTTTGATACCTTTAGGCTTTTGTACAGCCTTAGAAAAAAATTGAGCATAACATATATAAGTATTTGTCATTTACGCATATACAATTATACCTGAATGTAAACAGTATGTTTGACCCTATCATAGTTTAGAAAAGTCATTAATTAAATAACATTTAAATGTTTGATATCTTATTAATCAACAAAATGATAAATAAAAATTGTGAACGCTATTCCGGGCTTTCTCTTAAATAAGTAATGTAATACAATATAAAAAGAAACTTTATATAAAGTAAATAAGTTTAAATTAAGGGAATTTTGAAGAATCACGAATTAATACGTGCGCGGATGCTCCATGTATGGGAGCATTATCGTAAGATATGAAAGTGAAAAAAAGAAGTTTTTTTATTAATTGCCCTTCTGAGCGACATAGACAAATATAACGCCTATATAGAGTTATTGAGTTATTTGTTCATCTTATTATTGATCGAGTTATATTGCAGACACAAAAGCACAAAGCAATCGTATTTGTGTGTAGTGATCAAACTTGAACTCACCTTTAACTGTGTAATAATATCTTGATGTTAACGTTAGTTGCAAATTTGTCGGCTCATGATACAAGTTCACTTTAAAACGACCGGTTTTAGTTTCATATCCAGATGCCTCACTATGCTCAATTCCAATTGTTCTCTGTCCATTAACATCAGTGTCGCAATTTAAACACGAGGTGTGGTCTGTTTTGTTGAAAAAGCTTGTATCATATTTTTCTTCCAATCCGTCCTTGAACACGTTAAAAACATTGCCATTATTAACGAATGTTGGATTTACATCGTTAAGTATTACATTTTACTTAGACGGGTACGGAAAGTACTGGTTTGATGTTATACGTATCATACAAGAACGGTTTTATTGAGAAAATCGCTTTCTGTAATGGCGTTTAGCATTAAACTAATCTAGAATAGCATTACAAATATACCGTGTGCTCAATGAATATAATCATAAAAAAACGATAAGAAAATTCATATCAGCACCTTGAATGATTCCAAAAATAGGCTTTTAATGCTAATGTTTAAATATCGTTCTATAAAGAAAAATCAGCATTTCTAATGATAAACAGTTATTTTTGTCTTGGTACTTACTTAATACAGCAAATATAGCAGTGGAGTGCCTCTATTATGTAAGAGCATATTATAAGGAGTTCTAAGTTTAAGTTTAAAATACTTACTACAATGATATACCAATCAGACTCCACGTCCGAGAAACCAGAAATACAACCAGTTGTTACAGAAATAGTTCCGTTGCTATTGTTCGACCCTGGCTCTGTCATTGATGTTGGGAAAGTCGTATCGAAAACTGAAATATACACTTTTTTATAGTGTTTTTTTTTTCTCTCTCTCTCTCTTTTCGGACTAAGTCCGTCTGAGAACTGTTAAACTTTAAAAAGGGAAAAATCTGATTACAAGTAAGACTGTCAATGGTAATTTTAAAATAAAAATTTGAAATCAGGTAATGTCATTGGCCATTGTAACATTAGTATATACGTATACTATGAAGGATTATTGTATGAAAAACATACACTATGATATGATAAACAAGATAAACAAGGAAAGGCGGCGTTCAGTGAACGCAACCCACAAACGACCTAGCAGCAAATCAAATGTCAACAAAAAAGTCCAAATTATTAAATTATCTAAATGAAACAAATTTTGTGTTAAATGTATCGAATATTTAAATCTGTGAAACGTTCTGTCCCTTCGTAATCATTTTACATTCGTTTTTTAAAATTTCATAAATTGTTATATTAGTGTAAAGCTAATTCAATTTATAACTTGCAGTTGTTGTCACAATCACGAGAGTACCAATCACGCTTAATACTATCAGTAGATTAGATTCAGTGTTTATGATTACATGATATTGACTGTAAGTTAAAAATGTTTATAATAAATATATCTATGGATATTAATAAAGCAAATATTAATCTGTTAATAAATACTGATTATTTTATTTTATACAATTATTTATTTATCTTTATTTATTTATTTATTCATTTATTTATTTATTTATTCATTTTATTGAATATTTTCTCTTTATTTTATTTTTTGTCTGTTTTGATTGTTTAATATACTTCAAACGGAGACAAATAGATAAAAGTAAAATGAATACCCACTTATAGAAGAAGGTACTATCGACCGCATTATGCTTCCATCACTCGGGTCTTTGCAGGCAATTGTTGTGCAGTCAGAATAATTATATGAATTTATTGTCATCTTATAAACATTTTCAGTCATGTTCATCGAGTATCGGTACCCACTGTACTGGGGTGCGCATATTGAAGACAATACACAGTTCGAATTAAAGCCATCATCAATCAACCAGTCGATGTCTGTTCCCGGTGCGTTTTTACAAACGCAAGTCACATCAGATGGTATCAAAGGATTAACGCTTTCACACGTTAGATCGATACCAACTAAAATCAAAGAAATACACATTCAACTTTAAAAGTTGGCAATCATTGTCTCCATGAATATAACATTATTCTTTTAAATAGTTAATCAAAATCTCTTTTCTTTGTCTATTTTCAAATTTATTTATTTTATTTTTTTGCTTATAAAAAAAGTAAAATGCGATACTCACCGATTGCTCTTGGAAGCAAATGCAACACTAAGATCAGTTTAGTAACAGAATGCATTTTAACCTGAAATTAAATAAAAATATATCTTAAACTGCATATATATTTAAATCAACAATGATGACATGTCAGTGAATTCCAACATCAATCATTTCATTGTATTCAAATTATTAATTGCGTCTGGCTATAAACATAAATGTATATCACAAAATAGGTTCTAAATATTTAAATATATATTGCCATTTTTATACGGGTTACTTGAAGATTTTCTTTTTCAAACAAAAATTAATGAATTACTGTGTCTTTTATTGTAAATCAATCGATGTTTATTGTTATTATTAACTTATATGTTTGGCAAAAGCAGCTAATTTTAACGTGTCATTCATTCATTATTTCAGGAAAATTTGTAGATGTTGTTTTGGATTGTTGTTTTGCAGACGCGCTTTGCAGTAATTGCTTCAACACTGAGCATGTAAAGCGGAAATATTTTTATGGTGCTAACGTGCACTATTCGATACTGAAAAATCGGCAACATATGTAAGATATATACCTTAAAGGACAACTGTATGCAAAATTTAAACAAACTTTACCGTGCGAAAAAATGAGTTATGGCCACTTATCTAAATTTAATCTTAATCGTAGTCCACACAAGCGAAATTATCGTTTCTACCCAAAAATTTATGAAATATGTATAAAACAATTTACCCTAACCTACTCATTTTAAAACGTGTTTGACCATTTATCACAGACCTCATATATCTGAAAAATAATAAACAATTTAAATAGAGACTTTGTTTCCGATACCCCATTAGGTTATTGAATTATTTGGAAAATATACGTTTTATAAAAATCCTTATTGCTAATATTAGAGTGGTCAATGCGAATCACAGTTTTCAGTTTGAAATTTTAAAATGACCACTCAAAATCATATTGATATCAATTTTTTTAGGAATTCAATCCTAAAAAACGACATAAAAGTAGCGTTCGATAGTCAATGTTAGTGTGGTACTAAACAGTTTTCGGATAGAAGCTCTAAACAAACTTGGTGAGATCCTGATACAAATAGGTATATTTGGAGAAAAATGTCTTTAAATGACACGACCTTTTTAAGAGTGATACCATTCGAGTATTCGATGGCAAAAGTGCAGACAAAGTAAACATGTGTAGATGTCGATAATACGATATGATAGGCAATAAGTGGTGACCAGACATGTTACATGTTCCATGCAAAAAAAATATTGAATATTATGCTGACATCATGCGCTGTTTGGAAGGTATCATTATAAAACCTTCTTTTATGCAAATGTCACGACAAATTTAGCAATTTTTTTGCTCACAAGCATGTTTAATTTTGAAATAAAAGCAATTCAGCAAGCATGGATACACCTTAAAGTGTTTAAATATTAAACAAACTTTGACCTTAATAATAGTGAAAATAGTTGTTTACTCATATTCGTTTTTGTAGTCTTTAGGTTATCATTGCCAAGAAGAACATTTGTAAAAAAACGACCTTTCCTTTATTCAAATTGAACATTGATTTTTATAAGTAGTCGGTTAGAACTTAAGATATTAATACATTCGTATAACAATAGTCCTTTAATTGATGACATTGTTGATCATCTAGATATTATCTGCGTGTTATTGTTATGTTAAAATCCTAATTATATTGCTTAATCTTTAACGTATTCATTCCATTGTTAACGTATTCATTCCATTGTTCTAGTGTCTTAATTTTCTATTTAATACTTAATCAGGCCATATTTGGTTAATAAATTCAAAAAGAAATCCTTTGGGCAGGAGATTGGTAATGCAGTATTTAAATGTAGCAACAATTATTAATGCTGATATCTGCACATTTATGTTGAAATATTAGTCTATTTCATTTGCTGTTTAAGTCATTAGATTATCACGATTTTCCTGAAATTGTTCCAAAATTCATTTTAATATCTTTTAGGAACTTGTGGTATACAAAGGGAAACCCCCTTGTAAAGTGTTTTGAAAGACGAATATATATATATATATATATATATATATATATATATATATATATATATATATATATATATATATATATATATATATATATATATAATTCTTATTTGAAAACGAAGGAATAAAATGAAAAGCATATGTGGATCAACATGTATTTTGATCTTTCATGCAATCAAACTTTGATTGGTCCTTTTTACTTATTTTTGCCTCAAATGAGCATATTCCCTCATTCATAACATAATCAAATCATAAAGTTACATTGTTTTGTTTATTACAATCTTGTAACATGTTTACTAATTGTGTTACATGTATATAATTTGAAATGATATGTGCAGATATTAATTTTTCCGTCTACGTTCATATTCTCACTTTAAATCTACAACTTTACAAAGAGCACAACAAAAATAGTGTTGCATACATTGTTCATCTTTGTTTCTTTTAAAGTATAGCCTAACGTGTAGAAATCGTTAACATCTGTTATTTAAAACAAGCTTCTATTTTGAAAAGTTCAATATCCCTTTTTTAAAGCAGCGGACTTCTAGATGAAAAACTGCCATCGTACTAATATTTCAAAATCCCCCTTAAAAAAAACTTTACACTTTAGTTGAAAGAAATCGAAATGAAAATTTTCAGATTTTGTCATTATTACTCTGAAAACAAACAGTTTGCTTTCCCGCTAACCAGAAATACATTCTCTTATTATACTACGGAATTCTTACATCCGTTCTTTTGTAGTATCACGTGATTGCACAAGACAAAATCGCGACCTGTGCTCCGGAACACACGGAATTCGGGATAATATCAAACATAGAGCGAAACGAATAACTGCTTTGGTTTTTATATTTATAGTGATTTGTGGCATTTAAATTATAATCGATTAATAATATCGTATATATAATTATATCATATATATGATGATCAATTTATAGATATAATCTTTAGCTTGAAATATGATTATGGCCTGTTCAATGACGAAAAGTGATATTATATATCACTTTTCGATTATGACACCCGGCATACCGGAGACCGGGATATTTTCCGGACCACTGTTGTGACACGTGACCGTGTTAAATGAATGTTCGTCTAATTTTTTACATTGGCTACTGCGTTAGTAACGTAGTAGATTATGGAAAAGAAAATCCCGAGCTTTTGTCAATATTCTTTCTTGAATTTAGGTGTCAATAATTATGGATTTATACAATAAACCTTACTAGATCAGTATTTACCGTTAAATTGAAATAATTTATTATTTATTTCATCTTTTTTTATTTTACTATGATTGTGTGTCCATTTCGCCAAACTCATTCAATTCAGTGCATCTAGCATCCTTTATCTGCGATCATTTATCTCAAGGGTTGAGCTAATACGCTAAGAAAACAAACTGAAGGTCAGCGGAGAGCGATACATGACCGTAGGGGCGATTTTTTTTTAATTTACAGAACATAATTAAACATAGAAATACGAGTCGTAGAACCTATTACAGTAGATAAAATAGATCAATGTCATCGATGAAAATGAAATGATCGATACGAAAAATATGCAACCTAAGTCTTATTCAAATTTCCATCAGGAACACCCTTTCAAAATAAAATCATGAGAGAGAATCATTGAATCCCGTTTTGTATATAATGGGTTGCGTAGATAAACTCTTAACAAGAAATACTTTGTTCGAAACGATTTGACCAAAAGTTAATGAAATATCTAGAGGAAATGACATTTTTGCTATTAATTTTGTTTATCTATTACACGAACTAAGAAAAAGTCAAAATATTATTAACTGTATACAATAATGTATTTTTATCGAGGGCAATTTAATAGAAGAAATTACTCCTCATAGAACTTATCACTTTACTAAACTTGCTACTCAATTACAAATGAAATGCATTACTTCAGGTATGATTAAGATATCAAAATAGTTCACACATGGGTATTTCAAAAGCGAACACAATTAGTCAAATATACTTACAAAAGGAAGTATCAAATCAAAGCGCATATTTTAAGTATTATTTATTAAATATAATATTATTAGGCGTACCGAATACCGATTTTTTCGGCCATCTAAGGTTTGCTTCGGATTTCAGCATTTCAGAAGAACCCCCAAACTAGCAGTTGGTATATGCAACTGATTGTTAGCCGACCTATATATGTGCCAGGTAGAAGTCATTTAGCTTAATGAATTTGTAGTAATAAGATATAAATTATGATAAATAAATAACTTAATTTAATCCCAATTTATGTAGATAAACGTTGAGAAAACTTTAAGAATATCGATAATAAATCAAACAAAAAACGCAAATTACTTTTCATGATGTTTAAAATAAGGAAACTAACAGATAAGATAAAGATAAAATAAACAACATCTTACCTTTTACAACTTCTTTGTCACTTTATTTATTATACTTTTTGTATTTCATAAACATAACAGCTGCGAATAAAATCCCTCCTATGCATTTATTGGATTCAAGTTGGATCAATTATAATCAAATCGACAATAGCATGTTGAATTCAAACGTGACTTATATAGAACAATTAATAGACATAGTTTACAATGAACTGATCGATCATTATATTATAGCATGTTTAAGACATTAAATTAGTTTAGGTTTTTTGACAAATTTGTCACGTATTTTGGAAATATAATGATATCGATGAATCTCGATCTTTGTTCGTTGTATTTTTTTTTTCGAAAATAAAAGATAAACTAGCCACCACTAAGGAGATTGTTTTCAACGATTGAGCATTTTTGAATCAAAATTGGCAACAGTACTTTTAAAAATTCAACCCTCCTTTTGTGTTTTTAATAAGGTTTAAATATAAAGACTAAGTTATTCATTAATGTTCCTAATTAGTACGTCGTGTATTGTGTGCAACCTTATTGTATGGATATGGCAGTTATAACAATTATATATTACTTTAAAACATTGTTTTAAAAACATGTGCTTTGCAATGCGTCAAAGTGCCAGCGCGATATTTAGCTCCTAAAGTTGATATAATTGCCCGCGAATCATTAATCTAGCTTTTAAAGGATATAATATCCTCCAGTATCATACCTGATATTTCTTTTTGTAATTTCTTAAGAGAGTGGGGACGTCCGTGGCCGAGTGGTAAAGATCGTTGATTTCAAACAGCTTTCCTCTCAGCGATGCAGGTTCGAGCGGCAGAAGCGTTGCAGGTTTCTACATGTGAGAAAGCTTCCAAGCAAGCTTATGTCGCTCCTAATCTTGTCTTACAATCGGCAACATCGGTACCTTAATATTTCTATATTTTTGTGAATATCGCCTAGTAAAGTTAGTTCGTATGATTTTAGACAAAGGGCCGTAGGTTTCTTTCAGTTTAACTAGTGGAGAATAGTGCCATTTTGTGCATTTTACCAGACATAGGCTGACACCTGAGTACAATAAACGACCTTCTGTATAATACCTTAATAGCTTCCCAACAGGATATAAGTAGGTTTATTTTTTTAATAGATAAAGCGTTTTAATTTAGCGGTTATTAATGCATGACCGTATCAACACTCGTCTAAGCGTGTATAAAACAGGTTTAGAAGTTTACACCGTTATGTCTGTCACGTGATTTCCGTGCATAGAATCCTACAGCTTTAGTAAGTCACTTCTAGCTTAAATTCCAACGTGGTAACATCGTTCATTAAAACCCCATCCACCCTACCCTTAATTTCTGATATTTATATACAAATTTTGTTGTACGCGTTACTGCTGTCAAGACTTTTATATTTCAGCTGTGAGCCGGACTCCATTCCACTGTTAAACCATGCCATGCCATGCCAAGCTGCTCGCTCAACTAAAGAGTACCACAATAAGGAGACCATTTAATTATGTATTTTTTCTTCTAGGTTGGCCTCCCGTATCTGCAACCTCGCGTTCGGTTGGCCATCTTTTATCATTGGTGTTATTGGGCGGACGCCCTTTAACCGTTAGTGGGGGCCTAGACCTAAAGGTCGGCCGTTCACCATGTCCTTGAATTGACTGTGTCTTATATGAACAGGGTAAAAATTCAGCTTTTCGGCCAAACGGCTATTAGTTGTCTGTCGATAGCTGCAAAAGTAGTATGTACGTGTAGGTCCGTACATATTAAAAAAATAGATGGCTTTTCTACAAACCTCTAACAAAATGGGTATGTTGAAACAGACATGTTAGCCCTTCTGTTCGAATCTTTGGCTGCCGCTTAGCTCCATCGTCGGATACCCACGATTGATAAACATGTCACATAACATGCAATCAGCCGTGGGTAAAATGAATCGATTTGCGTCGATATACAGCAACAGGTGCGTAAAATATCTACCAATGACATCGCGTTTAACAAATCTATATTCTTCAAAAGCGAAGGTAAAAAACAATTAGAAACAAAATGGCAGCGCCCATGGTTAAAAACTGTTGCACGTGTCTTGCTAAAATCAATGGGAAAAAACTATCGCCAAATCAGTTCTTCTGCAAGCAGATATCAATCAGAAAGGAAAACATCACGCTGTAAAAGTACATAATCTATACTTTCTTGCTTGAAATCGTTTAATTTTTCGATGTTGAACTTTTCACGTCGTCTATTGTTGTCGCAATATTGTTTGTAATACCGAACGTCGTGCAGAACGAGCGTTTGGATTGGTTTTAATCGCCTCATGAAATCGTGAGGCAGCCAATGAAACAGCTGCCTTTGACACACCTCTAATCGACTGAATATCGGCAAAAAATCTCACGGCTGATAAATGTTAATGGTTCGGCCGTGGGTATCCGACGATGCTTAGCTCAGTCATGTTCTTGGATGGTTATTTATAACATAGTAGCTTAGTTGCTACGTCCAACCCTGCATTGTCGCTCTCCATATATTCGGTTATCCATTTATTTATATAAAACAAACATATTTATATGTTTTATCATTAAAAAAGGAGCTTTAATAGGCGTCCTAGTAGGTGACTTTCTAAACTTTCATAAATTTTTTTGAAATTTGAAATGGTGTGTGCTTAAATAATTAACGTATGTAATACATGATTGCCCTCAATACACGCTATTATATGCATTTCGGTGCATTGAATGATATCCGTCAACATCATCTCATTATATACGGAGATCTCTGAGGGTTCACCTTCGCCTCGTTTTCTCTTTAGCTCTGAATATGTTATTTTCTACTGGATTTTCCATGCCATACGATTCCATTTCCCAGACCGTATTGTAACAGAATTTAGCATATTTAGCGCTTATTATCATAGTTTCAGCACCATTGCGTTGCTATGTAGCTGTCCAAGCATTTTCGCTGGGAGCTGTCTTTCACATTTTATTCATTACATTACTTCATATTTTGTTTTCATTAACATTTATTTGCACCAAATGCTTAATAAAGTCACGGCCTTATCCCATTCAATTATGTTTGTTATTTCTTTTTCTGAAAGGCCGTTATGTGTTAAGAGGTTCTATTTAACATAGTAAACAGGTTCTACTCAACATAGTAAACACAAAATAGAAGATTTTTGGTTCTACTTTTGTCGTTAAAATGGTGTGATTATATTCCGCTTTCACAACATCATGTTGCTAATTGATGACATCATAATGTCCCTATTTACCTTTAAAGACTATTTATGTGTGAGGCATTTTTCCGGCTGATTTCGAACCTCAATTATTTTTATAAATAAAAACCCGCATAGAAATTAATACTAAGTACCGAGCGGGATTCGAACCCAGTGTGGTAAAGTCAACTTAATGGATATCAACGCACCCGAATACATTAAGAATACTCTGAAGCGTTGGGCTAACTGTTTCACAGAACCTTCCAGAATACAACTGTCGAGGCGCTCATATAAGTTCATTTACTTAGTCCTTCCTATTATTCAAAATGTTCGTATTATTCATGTTAATTTAGCCGTGCACTCTTAAGGTATAATATTATTAAGCTATACGATTGAATAAATGATAAATATTGAATGTAGCATTTGTGAGTTGCTTTTAGTACAAAACTGCAGATTAATGTTTTAATATACAAAACCTAACTTGCTTCTCACACACCAAACACAACAATGAATACAATGCACTACCTTAAAATACATAACCCATAAACTGGATGATTCACCGCTATTCATATTAACAGAAAAAAGACACAACGCTATTCATATTGAGAAAAAGAAAAGAAAAATAAATAAATAAAAGCTTCAAGAATTGAACTTGTCTATTTTAAAAATGCAGAAATACTATGTCGTGGCCACAAGTTACTAAGTCGTGGGAACGAGATAACTTAGTCGTGCGCACGGGATAATTAACCAATTAGAATACACTATATTTATTTTGATTTTTTTAAACTTAACAACTTACTTTTTCATGCAACATTAATCTTTGAAAATGCTGAAGGTCTTCACTTTGAACTTGTCTTTAGGATCATATTAAAAAGTCACCGTCCAAGGCCCATCAGACAATAACTTTGACTATAGCTCTTTGTTGGGACACATTTGTGATCGAATTTGTCAGTTTGTACGTACTACGGCCTGTTAACCGTATTTATACGATAACATGAGAAGGAATAAGTCCTGGCTTATTTTGTCATTTTGCATTTCGTCGCCCTAATTCCATAATGATGTAAGTCGTATTTTTACCATTTTGAGAAAATCGACTTCAAAGTTTTAACAGGCTATATCTTCACACTTACTCAACCAATTTTAATATAAAATATATCATAGAGTGCAGAATTATTTTAACTTTTACACTTTTAATTACGAAGAAGTTCCTGTAGATAGTTTTTTTGAAAATCAAAATTAAAAAAATTAAAAAAAACACTGAAAAATATATTTTATTGACAAAAATACAAGAACCAGAATGCTGTATTCAGTTACAGCAATGTGACCCTAAAATATCATTACATTTAGGAGTTACAACAGTGTGAAATAATGACTATTTAACTGTTTTATACTGAAATTATTTTAAATGTAAAAGTAACTAGAAATTGAATGCCTTAACGAATAGTCTGGATCCACATTTATTTAGGCACCACATAGCATGGAATGTGATCAGGATCAAAACAGTAAATTTAGTCTTAAAAGTCAATAATAAAAATCCAGACAATGCGGTGAAGTGTGAATAGCCACGAACAGGCATTTTAAGGTTGAAATTGAACTCGGGCTTCATTATTTTATGACCATTTACATGAAATAGTGAGCCTTGCAAATGAACAAAAAAATAAGATATTACTGATTTGTAAATGTATCACAATGAGTTAAAACAAAACGAAAACAAAATTTAGAAACATCGTCATTGTATTGATATTTACGGTTTACCACATTAAATAGCAAAACTTTTATCATATGATATGCTATTTTTACATTAAGACTGTACACTATAAAATATATGGAATTCAGATTTACTTTTGGTTTCGTTTATTATATCATTAATTCATTCCAAATTCAATTTTGAATACCTGTAGCTTGCAGACAAACAGCATGTTGAACATAATTTGACTTACAAAACACACAAAAATGTTTAAAAAAGATGTAACTGCTTAAACTTTCAAAAACAACATCAACAATGAGTTCCTTTCTCTGTAACATAAAAAAGAATAAACCTATGTATTTTACTTTTCTAAGAACAGCATTACTTAATGTTTTGTTTTCAAAAAAATGAAACATATGAAACACAACTCAAAGCTCACAAATTTTCAAAGATGCTACAGATCTGGATATGGTGTTTCAATGAACTACTGTACTTCAATTACAACATGTATTTATATATAAAGTGGCATACAACTTCTTTACATACAATAACAATTAAGTATACGTTTGCTTTTAATGATTTTAACTGAACTGTTTACATCAATAACTCATTCGTATAAAAGCAATGCTCAATATCTAAGAGTTTCAGTCAAATATTAATTCTATTTTACTTCAACAAACGTTTGATGAAACAAATATGACAATTTAAAGATTTCTTAATGTTTTTATATGGTCTTAAGACTTTGTAACATTTCTTCACAAAATCATTATTTTCTACGTTTCAATCGAATGAATTTTTGTTCTTTTTAAAAAATAGTTTTTGTAATGGATAATTTTCAGTTCAAAGGATCAAATCACTTGATAATTACGGGTAGTATTACCTTACGAGTTGGAAGTAGATGTACAAGAATTATTTTTAACTTAGAAACTTAGATTAATTTTGCATTGCATGTTCCAGTTACATAATAAATTTCAGCATAAGATTGAAAATGATTATGTTGACAAAAAGGTATAGACTGACACCCTGTTGATTTATGCAAAATAGCTGAGTAGGTGGCATTTTGTTTAATAAGTATTTGTTGTGCAAATGACGTCTCTTATTCAACGCTAAATGGTGCATCTGAGACAACACTCAGCTTTTTAACTTTTGTTATAGGGATATTGTCAAGTGTAACCCACCATATAGTCTTTGACGTTAGGACGTACTGTTTTAAAAAACACAAACGAGTGATGTAGGACTGAACACTTATGCCATTTTAAAAGTGTTTTGTCTTTCTTTCTTTATGACAGTGGGTATTGTTAACCAGTCTGGATTGCATAATGCCTTGGACAGCAAAACTTTTGATATTTTTGTGATCGTTATATGAAAGTGCAGAATTTTGAAATTATGAAAATTATGAAATTATGAATTATGAAATAAACATGAAGTAAACACAACCTAATTTAACATCAGTTATGAGTCACTGTGGAAAAGTAATATGTGTAAATTTTATTCGAATCACTTAGCACCAGTACGGTAATTTGTCTTATATAGTTAAAGACAAAATGTAACAATGACAGTAGTATGTTTTCCATTTGATGAGTTTTGTTTGTAAGTTAAAAGTATAAACAATCTAATGCAAAACCTGATTGTACGTATTTGATCTGAATATGTACAAGGTAACATTGATCAATCAATCATATAATCAATAACATATCAAGTTATAAACAGCTGATACTTGTGAATATTGAAAGTTTGTATCATTTTATCCGATGTCCATGCTATCCGAATTTCATAACACAGCATGGTGCTTTGAGTTTAGCTCAAGTGTTAAGAGTAGTTATTATTTATTTTTAAGGTTTGAAACAGTTCAATAAAATATTAATCTATAGATAATTAGATAACATCTAAAGCAAAACACTAACATGTTATCAAGAAATATAAAACGTATAATGTCATTCCTGATACCTTGAAAAATCTGCCATTTTTTCAAAACAGCATCACGTAACAAACTATTGGTTCAGAAGTTACGATATTATGGACTGTATTTTAATCACAATTTTTGGACTTACAGCACTCTGACCCATTCAATATATTGTTACAGGCAAGAACCAGAGTGATGTTGTTCTTACCATTAGATAGAGCAAAAAAATTACGAACATTTTGATACCAAACACTCATTTTTTTCAAAATTAGGGTTACGACACTCTGGAATTGGACACTAGATACACTTATTTATTCATCCCTTAATTTATTTGTTAATTTATTAATAATTAAAGAAATAAAAGTAAAAAGTAAATATTCCTATCATTAAATGCTATATTAACTGCTTTACATATATTTTACGAGTAAATTTCCTGTTCATTTTGTTTAAAGTTAGAAGAAAACCAAAGGTGCTTATCTTTCACCTATTTGCCACTTCAGACAACTTTTCTATGCCCATACTGAGTTTACTTAATGGGTAATTTGGAAACACATCCCTGTAAATATAACAGTTATATTGTTTAAGGGAAATGTTATCTGATATTTATGGAGGGCGTTCGTTGCCAAAATTCCAGACATGTAAAGTGTCCCTTTTTAAAATGACTTTTGAAAATGCGAACTTGTATGCCTCACCATTATTGTACCCGTGCATAGCATATAATATACCTCTTAATTCAATCTTTTAATTGAAGGTTCCCGCCTTTATATAACAAGTTTACATATATATATCGTAACAACTGACAAAACATCTAAAACGTCAACAAATTTACAAGTTCGTATCTTCCATTGCATGCAATACATATGCATGTTTGCACACTTATAGATCTGAAATATACAAGTGAAATGTAAATCTTAAATTCAGAAAATAGAGTTTAAGAGAACGTGTTACCAGTTGTAGAACTACAAGAGTACGTTAACACAGTAACATGTTTAAAATGACAAAAGTAGATTCACAAAGTTAAACGATTTTAAGTCAAGCATAACGCCCCGCCCCTCTCGGAGTATTTACGAACTTCTATTGCGGACAGGTATAAAACGGCGTCTCTCCCATATTCCTAAATAAAACTGAAGGACAAAATACGGCATTTTTCATAACATATATTTGTTACATTTGTTACAAATGTTTTGTCACTAGCAACATCACTTGAAAATTGCTGTTTTTACCATTTATGATGAAGATAACTTATGCAATAACTTATTATTTAACATCGTGTTCTTATCAGTTACAAATTATTTATCATTTTAGTGATTAGCCTGCTCTGCCTAGTGCCCTGTCCTGTGTTTTGTTTGGGGTCCGCCTGGGCTCTTTGCCACTTGTTCTTGTTGCTGGGTCATGTGGGGTTGCGTTCAAGCGCCGCCTTTCCTTGTTGATCTTATTTATCATATATTCCTACGAAACATCGGCGATTTGGAAATTTTTAGGGGAAACAATGACCAACTTCAAGGGAGTAATTTTATTGATACTCTAAAAACCATCCAATATTTTCATTGGTATCATTGAAAAATGTATTGGCACAAATTTCATTTTCAACAAAACCTATGCAAGTATTTGCAAAAATAGGATTTTAAAGCGGCCACCGAGATTTCCTTTCCGAAATCAAGAAAATACTTATCCGTAACACATATGTACAATCTTTCATAAGGTATTTTAAGTATAAAAAAACTTTTTGCACTTGTTCATTATCCCTCATGTAAAGACTCAATCAAATCGAGTCTGCAATTCTTGTGTAATTTTGTTGTGATTAATGCTTCCGAGGGATCACTTTGTTTCCAGATTTTTATACTTCACAACAGCAGGTGTCAAGTGCCGTGTGGCAGCTGTAAAAAGTTGCCCCGTACTTCACTTCAGTGTTGTTATATTTTTCTGGTCCTTCGGGATCATTGATGCCAGCGCTATTAAGTGTTGAGAATTGAGTACCGTTCAAGCCGGTGCTAGAGGGCGTGAGGGATGTTGCACTCCTTCATTTTACCTCATGTACAGACTCAATCAAACCGAGTCTGCAATTCTTATGTAATTTTGTTGTGATTTATGCTTCCGAGGGATCACTTTGTTTCCAGATTTTTAATATACTTGTTCAAAGCTACGTCTTAACTGTCGTTCAATATTTATTTTCTTTTTTGAATTAAGTATCTAAAAGAAGCGATGTGATTTTTTTCCCGAATATATGAGAGAAAAAATAAACAAAAAGTTTGAAACAAAAATTTTAATACTTCTACGTAATTAATTTTCATTTTTAAGGCATCACTAGAAAGTTCACAAAGGATTCTTTTACTTGAGTCTAAAATTAAAACTGACCAAGAAATGAAAAAAAGTAAGTAGGGGCGCCATGTTTCTCTTACTGAATTTAGAGTGTGTTTTGTTTTTTTACTTGGGGACCATATGCCGTTTTTCATAGTATGGCACTTACGTTTCACATTGAAGGTTCCATGATAATCGCCATATTAACACATCTGCGGATGTTTCAAAATTGTACCAGTTCATGTTGAATTTTGCTTAAGCCGGTGCTAGGGGGCGTGGACGGTAACTTGCTCTTTCCATTGCCGTCCATGAACAGGCTCAATCAAACTGAGCCTGCAACATTCTCAATTTTGTCGTTTTGAGCGTTCTTTACGGATTCTTATTTTCTCTATTTTACAGGAAGTAACATGATAAACTTTTAAACGAAAAGTTAATTCATTTTGATTTAATTCATTTTTATTTTTAGGCATTATATAATCATATATCATAAAGCGTATGAAGCACACTTTTATTTCAATCCAAAAGTATCAAAATTGATTACGAAATAAAAAAAAGGTTTTGAGGGAACGCCGTGTTTTTTCTTACCAATTCGAGAGTGTTATTTTCAGAGGAAAAACTGATAAATTTTAAAACAAAAATTTCAATACATCTATTTAATTCATTTTTATTTCCGAGGCACTCATAGAAAGCTTATGGAGTAATCTTTCATTTGATACCAAAACTATTTGACTTTTTATAGAAATAAAAAAACAAAGTTAGAATGGACGCCGTGTTTTCCTTCACTTTATTGAGAAATAGGAGAGAGGCGACGGGTATTATACCTGTCCGTACATTTCATTAATAGAAGATCGTAAATACTCAGAGAGGGGCGGGGCGTCATGCATGACTTAAAATCGTTTAACTTTGTGAATCTACTTTTGTTATTTTAAACATGTTACTGTGTAAACGTACTGTTGTAGTTCTACGACTGGAAACACGTTTTATTAAATTATATTTTCTGTATTCGAGTTTAACATTTCATTTGTATTTTTCAGGTACAGAAAGATATCTACAAGTGTGTAAACATGCTTATGTATTATATGCAATGGAAGATACGAACTTGTAAATTTGTTGTTGTTGTTCTCTATGTTAGGTCAGTTGTTAAGATTTACATGTAAACTTGTTATTTAAAAGCGGTTGCCTTCCATTGAAATATTGGATTAAGAGGCATTTCATTTGCTGTGCACGAATACAATAAAAAATGCTAGACATACATGTTCACATTTTAAAAAGTAGTTTTCAAAAGTAGTTTTCAAAAGAAACACATTACATGTCTGGAATTTTGGCAACGATCGCCCTCCATAGATATTTTCTTTAAGATTTCTAAGCAAAGTAGTAAATTGAGAAAAATAGTATAATATTATACTAAAAATAATTGATATTTACTATTTTTTTCTCATTTTAATATCATCCAGGAAAATAAATATAATATTTATTTTATTGTTAAATATGAGTTGATGTCAGTTATTAATATTTATATGAACTGTGAAGTTTTATTATTATTATTATTATTATGTCGCCTCTACGGAGTAGTGGCGACATATAGGGATCACTTCTCCGTCGTCTGTCTGTCCGTCTGTCTGTCTGTCCGTCTGTCCGTCCGTCCGTCACAAAACTTGTCCGGACTACTGCTCATAAACTACTGGTGCAATTTCATCCAAACTTTACAGGAATGATCAGTACCAAGTCTAGTTGTGCATATTGTCAGCATTTTCCGGTTCAGTGATTTTTGTCAGAGTTATGGCCCTTTAATAATTTTTAATTTTAAAGTTTGTCCGGACTACTTTTCTTATACCACTAATGCAATTTCAATGAAACTTTACAGGATTGATCTGTAGCTGAAGTCCTTGCGCATATTGCACGGGTTTTCCGGTTGAATGATTTTTGGCCGAGTTATGGCCCTTTGACAAAAAGGTGTTTTTTTCTGTGTGTTGCCAGATACCCAAAAGCTTGTCCGGACTACTCCTCATAAACTACTGGTGCAATTTTATCCAAACTTTACAGGAATGATCAGTACCAAGTCTAGTTGTGCATATTGTCAGCATTTTCCGGTTCAATGATTTTTGTCAGAGTTATGGCCCTTTAATAATTTTTATTTTTAAAGTTTGTCCGGACTACTTCTCTTATACCACTTATGCAATTTCAATGAAATATACAGGATTGATCTGTAGCTCAAGTCCTTGCGCATATTGCACGGGTTTTCCGGTTGAATGATTTTTGGCCGAGTTATGGCCCTTTGATAAAAAGGTCTTTTTTTCTGTGTGTTGCCAGATACGCAAACGTTTGTCCGGACTACTCCTCATAAACTACTGGTGCAATTTTATCCAAACTTTACAGGACTTATCAGTACCAAGTCTAGTTGTGCACTGTCCGTCTGTCTGTCACAAAATTTGTCCCAACATGAAATTGGCCATCATGAGGCGACACATGTGATTACTGATCGCTCTTGTTATTATCATCATTATCATTATTGTTATTATTATTATTATCATTATTATTATTATTATTATTATAATTATTATTATTTGTTTATTGTTGTTATCATTTATTATTTTATTTATCGGAATAAATATTATATTTTCGCGCTAGTATTTCTTTAGAAAAGGTCGTAAAAATGATTACACTTTAGGTAAATTCGATAAGTTTCTTGTATAAATAGATAGCTGATTGACAATAATATGTTACTACTAGCTTAAAAAATATAATATTACATGTAATATCAGTTTAAGATAGCTTTTACCTTTTTTTTTTTTTTTACTTATTTTTGATGTTTATTTACTACATACTTTCATTGTAATAACTTTATGTATGATGGAAAATATAAAATAAAGTAACGAATTGTCACAAAATAAAACAAATGTTTGCGTTATTTTATTACCCTCCATTTTGTCATTGACCATGTCATCTTCATTAAAACGGGGGTAAACCATATACCAAAAAAATTGTCATCTACATAAATAGCAGTCTCGCTCTCCCTCTCTCTGCATGTAAATTTGTTGCTGAAAAAGTGCCTTCAGGTCGACCCCCGGAAAAAGGACATCTGGAATTTCCTTTTTTATTCGTGAACGCATTCAATAAGGATGTTTGAGGTCAAGGTAACCATGACAGAACAGAACAGAACACGTTTATTCAACAATAAGGAATTGAACTTGCGTTCCTCTTCCATACATGCAATACATATAAACATAGGTCAATATACATGCATAAACATTTTATAGT